ATACTACAGTCAACTATCGTGGGCCATCCATCCTCCCCTCTGCTTCTTTAATGGTTCCTGCTTAGGAGCACAGTTTCCCTTCAATAGTCACTCCCGCCTCTGCCTTGCCTGTTCTCTGTCCGCTTGATTCAAGAATTATCTTGGCATCACCCAGTAGCCCTATCTTACTTGGGTGGATCCCTAGGCTTTGGCATGATCAGCTTCCACTCTTCGCTTCTGGTCAGTACTGGCACTAGTGGACATCTTTTTCCATACCTGGACAATCCCCTTTAGGGCACACCTTGGCTAGTAACTTCGAGGTCTATCTTGCAGTGAGATTTGACCATACCCAACTAGTTTCTCAGTTCCAGTTACCGTCACCTTCTACCCCTCACCTTCCCTTTCCTTACTGCCAGTAGGATCTCTTCCACTAAGTAATGCCATCTCTCACAGAACATGGAACTATATGAGAGACACAGTAATACGGCAACAGTTCAATTAGAGTTTTCATTGGGGAGAGGAATCTTCTTGGACATTTGGTTGGCTCCTAGGTAAGACCTGTTCGAATTCGAGTTGTGAGATCTTGGAACTAGATACCTGAGTTTATTGTCCCTAGAGTGTATACAATTGGGCCCATACCAGAGGGTCTTGGAAGTACGTGTTTTCTCTTGGTCCAGGGAGGAGGGGTTTTATTTACTCCATAGCTAGCCCTGCATGTACTATTCTTGTACCTTAACAATGAATATCTTGATTTTAGAAGAAAAGAGAACAAAATCAAAGGGCCTCTGGTAGAGACTCCTCATCCAATCGCTCAAGTTGTTTCCTATGCTCTAAGTTGAATTTATATTTTTATCCATATTCAAATATCTCCTGTAACATTACATGACAATGAGGTCTTGCTGTTTGGACTAACCTGACACCAGGAAGAGATATCAACTGATGTTAGCAGAAGTTATAGCGAAGACAGAGAGTCTCTGAGCTACTGAGATATGCAGAGGTATGGTCATTACCTGTTGAAGAACTAACATCTACAGAGTAGAATCATTGCACCTTCCTAGCTTTCTGACTTTAACCCTCTATAACTCCTGATCTAAGTAACAGATATCCTTTGAATAGGTTCCAACTAATTTGCAGGAAGCCATTCTACTGGATTGGTAGATAATCCTGCAGTCAGCAACTCTTGGTTATTTAAGGTAACAGGACTTCAGTTACTGTTTAGTATTGGGATAATTCCTACCACTACAACACAATCTTGGACTTAGTTATAACATTCCTTGAAGTCTATTGGCTTTTTTAGTAGTATCTCTCAGAGTTCTAGACACTCCTAATTATTGTAGTGAGGATGAAAATGTGTTAGCACTTTGTAGAGATCCTCTAACATTCATTACCATACCCTTGTGCAAAATTGTCCTGTTATTTAGTACCTCTGCCACAGATGTTCCCTCTTTAAAGCCTAGTAATTCTCCTAGTAGTTGATAGATCTACCTTGTCTCACTTTCCAGACCTAGCCTAAGGTCCTCTCCCATATAAACTGTGAACAGGATCCTCTTAGAGGAACAGTAATAACATATATGGTATTATTCTGACACTTTTAAATCTGTGGTATTATAGTCACAGGATTCAACTAAGATTGATATGTATGATGATTTGTAGGCATATAAGGGGGCCAGAGATGGGTGTTGGCGACCAGAAATTCCAATTCTGAGTGGGGTTACCCTACTTAGGGTGAATTCTTAGTATCAAATCCTGGTACCCCTAGCATCCTACTATGTATAGCCTTGCCAGCATGGAGTAAGAATCCTGTATCTCTCACTAATTGATTTCTTTAACATCCAGAAAATATGCTTACAGTACCCACTAAATCAAACTATTATCTAATCAAGTGACAAATTCGATTGTGTCTTCTAAGGTATTTAAAACCACTGTCAGAGAGGGGAATATATTGTTTTAACTTTTTTCTACTCCTCAGAGTCCAGTTTTACCTCCACCTACACCAGCTCCACATGTAAATATCTCTTGATTTGCTTGAGCTGAACTAGTTCAAGACCTTTTCCACTCCAACTTCTTTCTATAAAATCTAATTGCTACCCAAATTCTACTAAATCTTTATACCTATATACTCTCATCAATACCAGCTATCCTACAAAATACTTCATTTCCCCTATGGTTACTTGCTTCTACACTTATATAAAGAGCAAGCCTCAGAGAGTTGGGCCTCCATAATTATGCTGCATACTGGTTGGTATTTTCTACAAGTATAGAAAATACATGATGCTTCCAGAATTGTCAGAATAAAAGGTAGGACATTGTGGCTGAACTTAGGACCTCAGTATTTGCTTCATCCATATGAGATTGCAACTAATGTTCTAGGAGGGCAGAGCTATCCAGATTTTTGGACTTTTGAGTGTATTGTTGCTCATTTTAGTAATCAATTTCTATCTCCCCACTATCTACATGGCTTGATATTGTCTTCTGGGACCTTTTTTCATTTTTCTGTCCATTTTGTAATGTAAATAGTACCTTCTTGGATGCTTTATTTTTTTTGGAGAGGGAATCAGCGATTGAGATGATTAATTTTTAAGTTATTCGAAGTATTATGCATTGACAAAATTAACCGCAATTCTACAATCGGTGGCGACCCATCCTTCTCCATCACCCCTCACTCTCAACAGTACCTAAAAAAATTGCTCTAGGTTAACCAAGAAGAAACCATTCTGCTCAATTTGTTTTTTCAATAAACTATGACTCCTATTCTTCGCAGTCATGCCAAAAAACCTATTCCCTTCACACATCTCTCCGAGTTTACCAGGGGAATGATTCTCAGGTTACACAAGTATCAGATGAGATATCAGCAAATTTCCCACTACCTTAATATACCCTCTACTACTATCAGAGACACAATTGCAAATGAATATTAAGTGGACAAGGAGAATAAGGGTAGAGGAAAACATCCTAAAACTACCAAGTCACAGGATGATGCTAGGTAGAGGAAGCTCCTAAAGATTGCCATACTACCTATTCTGACATTACTGAGTAAGTTGCTCCCAATGTTACTAGTAGGACAGTAAGGAGAAGACTTGAAAAAAAGCATCTTAGAAAGTGGATGGCACAAGAGAGTTTATTTGAATGAGAATTTAGCTTAAGAGAGGTTGGAATAGGCATTAGCTCATAGGCATTAGACAAAGAAGATGTGGAGAAGAAAGGCAATGTGGGAGGATAAGGTAGCTGTGGAAAGGGGAGGAGGAAAGAGGAGAAAGTAGGTTTTCAGATACCCATATGAAAAATAGAATAAGGATTGTGTTGAACCTAAGGCTAGGAGAGGGGAGAAAGGGATTAGCCAGATGATGACTGGTTGTTTTTATAGTCAAACTCATAGTCTTTTTTTGCCTATTTTTCCTAATCCTTCTTCTTCTAGGGGTGGAGTTACTGGGAATTCTATTATTGATATTTCTGATCATTATGACTTTCTAGGGATATGGGAGAATATCAGAGAAAGGGCTGGAGAAGAAGAGGTATTTTTTATTATTGACAATGCTAAGACTCACTTGCCTTTTAGGAGATGGCTCAGAGGGCAGAGAATTACACTAATGGAAATTCCTGCCTATTCACTAGATCTTAATCTAATTGAAAATATTTGGTCTCTGGTGAAAGGTAAGCTTCACAAGCACTACTCTGAGCTATATCTTATGAAGGGTGATGTCAATAGGGTCAAGAAGGCAATAATAGAAGCCATCAACTCATTGTTGGAAACTTCTTGACCCAAAGGTTTTTGAAACTTTAGCAGGATCAATGGGTGGATAAAATAAAGGCAATTATTAAGGCTGATGGATGGTATACCAAATATTAATTTCTACTATGTATTTACATCTTTTAACTTTTTTTTTTTGGTTTTCATGATAGTGGATTGGTGAGTGAGTGTAGTTGTCATTACCGAAGATTTTCCTCTGTTAAATCGCGGTTAATTTTGTCCACGCACGATATTATCCAAAGGCTGGCATGAAGGCATTCTGACTAAACTCCACATTTAAAGTATCACATACTACCATCTACATCTCATTACCAGTTGATGTGTTCAGTTCACTGACTAATTATGTCTTAAACAGTGTTTGAGATGTTAATAGGGTCGACACAACATTTTCCACTGTCGTGCCTGTCAAGGAGATAGATTTTTTAAGTATTGATGCTATTCTGATACCGCTTACATAATAAATTAACCTATTGTACGATTTCGTTTTGAAATATATGAATATGATTTTTCATAGATTCCGGAGACTGTTTGGGTAATCTGTTTTGAAATAGTTGATGTTGACTATTTCAAAATGGAACCATTGCCGCAGTTGAACCTTGCCAAATGCCAGTTTTGTTCTTCAGTTAGGAAATGGAAGGCAAACAGTTGTTTGTATGGGCGAACGGAACGGAACCGTCGTTGCCAAACTGGGCCTAAGACTCGCAAGCTTCTATTGTAGCAATACGGGTAGGGAGACAAATGAAAACACGTTCAACTCACACAATCAAAGCCTCCTAATCACGCCTATTGAATTTACAGAACGGATATCATAATTAAACAACGTCATACTGACGGGTATAGTGGAAACCAAACACTTTCTAGCCTTTCACTTTCTTTCCCCTCCTCCTCTCTCCCTCCCCGTGTATCTGATTCTTCGCATCTGCTCCCCCAATGACCCCCATAAAAAGAATCAACTGCTTGGTGATATTATTTTGGCATACTTGTCGTCCCCGTCTGTTGCAGTTGAGTCTCCATCTGGTCAAGTCGTTTAGACATAGCCTCGATCTTCTCGAAAATCTCACTAGAAACCGATGCGAATTTTGTGCTAAGGCTATTCAAAAGATCATCGACAACGGCTGTGAGCTCGGCGGGCGCTTCTCCAGAGGCCTGTGGGGTTCTGGTGAGTTAGCTATAGTTTGGAATGAGTAATATGCAGTATGAGCTTACAGCAGAGTTCTCTTGCTCGTTTGAAGGAGTTTTTTCATTCTTGCCCTGGGTGCTCATGGTTGTGTGGATGGTGTTTTGGGTTTTTGTTTTTGTATGGAGTTGTGGTTGTATCCCGCCGGCCGCTGTAGTGAACGAATGGTGCAATGCTCACTTAGAGTTTGGTGTTGATGGCCGGAGTGTTGGTTGAAAGAGACAACCAGCTTGACCCCCGCCCTTTGAACTACAATAGCTTGTCCAGTCTACTACCCCACTAAACATACTATTTTGAGTATCGACAGCATCTCACAATCACCACGAAAGCCACCTCCTATTCTACGGAGTTCCAAAGCTCCCAAAGCTCTAGTAGAATAAACGAGGACATAGCAAAATGGTATGAATCTGGAAAATACCCCCCCCCACTAGCATGTGATTCAGAATCTGATTCTGTCTCTTAGGCATCCGAATCCCGTCTCTACACCTTCTCCTCTGAGACCCTCGAGGGCCTCCGGAAATTCCGCCTAGGCACTTCCCGAGCTTCTAAACCCCAGGGCGTGATCTGTACCCACACCCTCGCCCTCCCGCCCCCACTCCCGCCCCCTTGATCTGCCATTCTGACCACCGCAGACAAGATCGACAAAGTAACTTTGGAGATCAAACTCGAAGACGACGAGGCAGAGGTCTACACCTCCCTAAATGAGATATCTGATGGCCTCCCCGAACATGTCCCACGCTTCGTTCTCCTCTCTTACCCGGTCACGCTAAATTCCGGCCGACGAGCGACGCCGTACGTGCTGCTATATTATCTGCCACTCACAGCCAATAACGAGCTTAGGATGTTGTATGCTGGGGCAAAGGAGCTGATGAGAAATAAAGCTGAAGTGGGCAAGGTACTTGAAGTTGCGGATGAGGAGGAGATTTTGCAGGTTGAGGAGATCTTGAAGGAGTGAGTGGGGTTGTGATAGGCGGATGGATATGCTGGGGCGTCTTGTTGGAGGATATTGTGTTTTTTTCTTTTTTGGGTTTCGTATATGAGGTTTGCGCCGCCCGGCGGGGTGGTAGGAACCATACTTCCCTGCCCTGATGGTATTGAGTTGTGTTATGTACCTTGCCTGAAGCCGCCCCGCGTGATCAGGGCCTATGATTCATATACTTGTGAAATTATGAGCTCATCTTTGGCCAATTCTCTTGGGATAATGATACATGTGTACAACACGGCAACATCTATGAACATAGCTCCTAGGGAGTATCTAAGGGAGAAGCACACGTAGAGGGTATTAGGAAATCATAGACTCTCAAGGGCTCCTTTGGCAAAGTCCCACGCTCCAAGGAATATGGCTCCTCCAATGGAAATCCATATGACCCTTGGCCCGATTCCCTTGAATAACCCTCGGGCGCCTTCTTCCCCCACCATATTGCGCAGAATTAAAAGTGCAGACTCTTTCTACAACCTCCAACAGATCACTGTCAGAAAATCTATGGGAATAACAAAAATTGCAGAGCACCTACCTTCTTGCCCAACATCAGCCTCGTCTTCAGCACATCCAAAGGCGTTGTTGCCGCAGCCGCCACACACCCGGACAGACTCCCAAACAGTGCACTCTCCCCAGCATTAACCTTTCCTCCCTTTCTCGCACTCCTCCATCTCTTCATGGCCTCCCACAAGGGAAACTGAATAACCGTGAATGGAATCTCCCGCATAATCGTAATCCCCCACCCGCGATACAACTCCATCCAAACCCTTCCGAGCCCTCTGTTCGAGGTGAAAATGTTCCTCAACGCCATCCAAGAACTTGAAAACTGCGACGCCTGTGCCCGCTGTTTAACAACTTCCGTGGGCACACGCACAGTGCACGCTACTATCTCGCCGAGCGAAGCTGCAAGCATGTGGTCTCCCGCTACCACTATTCCGACTTTGTCTTGCCCGTAAAACTGGCGGCTGCGGACAAGGGCGGATTTTGTAGCTTCGTAGGTTACAAAGAAGAGCGCGGCGCCGGGGGCTGAACCAGCGATTACTGAGCCGACGCCTTTGTAGACTCCTCTCCAGCCGCCGTTTGCAAAGAAGCCGCCGGAAGATTGGAGGCGGGTTTTTAGGGTGTCGAGGGGGTAGAGGGACAAGTCTACTGCGGTGCCAGCGAAGCCGCCAGCCTGGCTTTTTGTGAGTAATGAATGTGGTGGAGGGGGAATTGACTTACAATCAGAGAGCGGAGATATGGAGACACAAAGAAGGACCGGGGCGGAGGATGAGGGTCCATCTCCACTATCAGCAGAGGGAATTGAGTTTTTGAAGCGTGGTGGAAACATGGGGAAACAATAATCCCGGTGGTGGGGGAGGCTCAACTGGGATTGCGTCCTGACTCGGCGCTCCTATTCAATTCTCAAGATGGATGTTCGATTCAGTCGTGCCCTTAATAGCACCTCATCGCAACGCGAGCTAAGAGGATATATAAAGCTCATTTCCTTAGGAACTACCATCCAATGGTACGGTTCAGTTCTATTTCGCTTTCTGAGTATGCCGGCTTCTTTCACCAGTTATGGCCAGGGACCGGGCTTCCCTCGCGGCTGGGTAAGTCACAATTTTCACTTGGAGCTTACCTAACTCTAGTACATTGCCCACGGCTGACCGACATACTCAGGCATTGCCCTCAGCGGCGGTGTAGACTCAATGGCGCTCGCATATTTAACCTCCCGCCTATTCTCCTCACATAGTGAACCCCCCAGTGCGATCCACGCATTCATTGTGGACCACAAAGCCCGCCCCGAGAGCACCGCGGAAGCGCGTTCTGTCGCGCATCTTGCAAAGGAAAGCTATGGCTTCACCGCCCACGTTCTGCCCCTGAGTTGGACCCTCTTGCCAACCGACCTTTCGAATGGGTTCGAAACTCGTGCTAGGACTGCACGGTATCAAACACTTGGGAGAGCATGTGTTGCAAATCAAGTGGATAAGTTGCTACTCGCGCACCATGTCGATGATCAGGCCGAGACAGTCCTAATGCGGTTGCTAGCTGGGAGTAAAATGCAAGGGCTCGCGGGGATGAGGGCTGTTGCGGGGATTCCGGAGTGTGGAGATATATTTGGGGCGGAGAGAGTGGTTGTTGGGAGGCCACTTTTGGGGGTTGAAAAGGTGGGTTCGGGGGCGCTATGTGAGTTGGGCGGGGTGACTCTTACGCTGTATGTCTATAGGGAAGACTGCGTGCTACTTGCTTAGAAAACGATGTGCCCTGGTATGAAGATGAATCGAACCAAGACGCGACACTGACTCGCCGGAACGCTGTACGGAAGCTACTCGGTGCGTCACCGCCGAGGCTCCCCCGAGCACTGCGAAGCCCTTCGTTGGTTGCGCTCGCACGAAGAGCAGAGGCGAGGAATAGGTCGGTAAAAGACCGGGCCCGCATCGTTCTAGAAGAAGATTGCAACCTCTCCTTTGACCCCGCTACCGGCTCTCTACAACTCCAACTGCCTCCCAAAATGCGCGGCATCCAACCTCGCGTCCTTCAAACCCTTCTGATCCAAGTAGCAGAAACCATATCTCCTCTCCCCCGAGCCGAAGCCCAAAGCCTACAAACACTCTTCAAAAACATCCTTTCAAACGAGCGAAAACCATTTACAGCAGCAGGTCTAAAATGGACCTACCTCACGGACAAAACCTGGTTCTTACAGAGGCAGAATTACACTTCCAAATCCCGCAACGACTGTAGAATTACCTTTACCGACAATAACCCTGGCTGGACATCCTGGAACCTCTGGGACGGGCGCTGGTGGATCAGGCTCTTCGTCCCAACTCCCTCCTGCCCAGCAATCTCCATTCGGGCGATGAAAGAAAATGATATAAGGCCCTTAAGGGAGAAAGCCGCGCAGGTAAATATGGCGAAGCAGCTTGAGAGGGTGCTGAAGGAGAAGTTGAGAGGTGAAATGAGATTTATTGTTCCCGTGGTGTATTGTTGCGGAGAGATTTTAGGATTGCCAAGTGTGGGGCTGTGGCTCGGGAGTGGGTCTGTTGAAGGAGGGGCAAAGTGCGAGGTTCGGTTCAAGGGGAGATGTGGGTTGGTGTAACGTGGGGGTGCATGGACTGTTTTAGGTTTTGGAAGCAGATACTCGGGATTGGCTTTGGTTGAACCTATGCTGGAGGGATTAGGGCGTGAGAGAGGTCAGATGCAGGTAGGCCTGATAGATTTCTTGACTTGAGGGGATACCGCTAATCGAATATCCACACTAGTATGTTGGAGATCGAGGTAGTTAGGATAGTCATAAGACATCACTCGTAACAGTTAATTATCGCTTTATTGTCGGGAACGCGTTTAGTCTAGTGCCACTATCTTGATTCATGGAATAGTAGTTGATACCGGGGATTGTAGTGCGGGTCTGGAAGGTTTCTTGGCTTGTGGGTTTCATTTGTGGACGAGAAATGAGTGGCGGTTGGGTTTCATACATGGGACAGGAACGAGCGGCTTGAGAATGAAAGTTGGTATGGATTCATGGTTGCACTGAATTTTGATATTCGTATTTATATACCATAATATTATGAATCATATTGCTATTATTGTTGTGAATGAGGGATTAATGAACAAAATGATATTCTATTGGGGGTTAACTTCGGTTTTCACGCTTCTTGATTGGTTGTAAACAATCTTGCCGAAGTCCTATTGATGTATCAAGTGCGGAGTAAGTCCAATACTAATCCTCCACTTAAATTTTTTCTAGTACAACATCTAATCCTATATTATTTGACTTAAGGGAAATATATAGGACCTGTTTGGGAGGCCATTTTTAAGCTATAAGAATTGTTATCATGGAGGAAGTATTTGGTGTAGCAAAGAAATATGCCACATAATTTTCATATCTTCACATGGCTTTTTAGGAAATTGTTCCAGCAAGGGAGTAGGGTTCAAATAAAAGTAAAAATTAGGGAATTTTGTGAATGTTATGATCTTAATAAAAATGTAGACTATATGGATATAATATGAAGAGAATATTATAGGCATGTCTCTAACAAGGAGGGAAAATGTATAAAGTCAGATTGGTAGAAATTCTTGTTCTTAATTCCTTGCAAATAAAGTAGGTAGTTGTATCTATATATACAGAGTTGCATTCTCTGCATAATCCTTGCACAACAGAGAAAAATAAAATAGAAAAACATAAATGTGACCATATAAAACTATTATATAAGTAGGAAAATGTTAGGCAGAAGTCAAGTCTAGTATAAATTAAGAATACTTAGGCCAAAATCTTTGGTAGAGACAGAAATTGTCTAGTAAGGCTCAATAATGTTCTTTTTGTTTATGACTACTAAGAACTCACTTAACAGGGTAATAAAATTATCATAAAGATTTATTGATTGAACAATTTATTATTGATAAGATCTTGTCTCTGTTACTTGATGATATTCTGTAAAGCTCAGGAGGTACTTTGATATTTATATCCCACATCGGAGTATTCATGGACTACTTCTAACTAATATACAACTGAATGCTACAGTCTATGGTCTTAACAAGTTTGTACATCATTTGACCCTGAATTCTTCTATATCTTCTTCATACTCTTAGATAATAAAATCTTCACTGGCAGATGATGCGCTATTTTAACTTCAAACTAACAGTCTCTGATTTATAGAGTGAAATAGACTTCTTTCTGAAACTACCATCTACTTGACTATTGTTCCAGTAGTTTATTCTGAATACACAAAATGATCACCTTATGTTAGGTACTTGTACATATTGTAGGCTTGGTAGATAGTCTGCCAGCGCTTTAGATCTACCACCTATCAGGTCTTTTAGGTCTGAGTAGCTTCTCCTCAATCCGCCTAACCTCCAAGAGAATCATCTTTAGAGGAATTATATTTCTAGTAACAATCAATATACAGTAGCTTTCAGATAGGCATTGGGGTTACTTCTATCTCCTATGGTGTCTGGAGTACTCTAGCATCAATTGCAGATTATTGCAACGAAAACCTCCTGTTACTTTCAGCCCATAATTAGGATGTTGAACTATGAAGCCTAGTAACTGAATGCCCCTCTCACAGATTTCCTCCCTACTATTTCTCAGAGGTACATAAAGATTCCGGCTTATATGCTTCTTTAGCTTCCTGTTGAATGAATGGCAACAACATATATAGTGTTTTGAAGTGGAATTTATTGAAATAACATTATAGTTATGGGACAAAACTCTTCAAAATCTCTATAAGAATATGGGGATCACATAAGGTTGTCTGAGAGGAGTACTGGCAATTCCAATAAATGAGAGTCTGTGTACTGTTACCCTACTGAGTGGTATGTACACTTCTATAATATTATCACCAATACCTTCCGATCATGGATCTCATACTGCTGCTCCGTGGAATTCAGTTTGTAGGAGTGAAAAGCTACAGGATATAGCCATTTTTCCACAAATTGAGATAGGAAAAAAACTCAGAATAGGCGCTAGTATCCATTTCCACCAGAGTTTCACTTTCTAGAAAGAAATAGGGTAAAATTGTGGCAGAAGTAAACCTTCTCTTCAGCTCCTGAAAGGCTATTTCCTCTTCTAGGCCTCACAGGAACCTTTTGAAATCACTCTTCCATGTTTCAGTAATTGGAGCGCAAATCTTCAAGAAGTTTTCTATAAAATGTCGGGAGAGGTTCTCAAATCCTGGACATATCTGGCTTTCATTTATTGACGTTAGTGACTTCTAGTTTAGTACTGAATCCACATTTTAGGTACTTATAGATACCCCATCAACTGCTATTATAGAGCCTACAATTTCCACCTCTTACGTATGAAAAAAAGATTTCTTTATTGAAATCCCAAGTTGGAAATTTGCTAATTTCTGCAGTATTGCTTTACCAGTTTAATATGTTCTTTATCATTTTTTGAATTAGTAACAATGTCTGCTAAATAGCATACAATTCCTTGGTTTAGAAATTCATTGAGAACTTCATTCATCATGTCCTAAAAGATAGCTGGAGTGTTGGC